ATATACTCTCTTTGCAAAGTAAAAGGAGAAGGACCAAAGAACCCAAATAAAAGGGTTTTCCTTGATGAGCTCATAATTCAAAAAGTAGGGCACACATCCCAGGAAGAATAGAAAAATAAAAATGTGAACCTGTCAGAACAAGCCAAATTCAGTTTAAATGAGGTTAACAGCAAAAGGTTTTCAAAGCAAGACCAAGAAAAGTTAAGCCCTCTGACCAGGTAAAAAGACAGAGAAGACAGACCTTGTCCAACTCTTATCATGATTCCCTTTTCTGTTAGAAGGGTTTTCAACCTGGAAAGGATATAACAAAAATCCTAATAAACAAAATGCAGCCCAAGGAAGGTGAGGGAAATCTATACATTTTAAATGTCTTTAAAGCCAGAATCTATAGTCTAAAAACACATTCTTAAAACAAATTACAGAAATTCGATTTACAAATATTTAAGCACTAGAAACTTCTTTTAAGTCTTTAACAAAATTTTTTTCATTTCCATCTTTGACGCAGTTTCTTTCTTGATGGAAAAAATCTGAAAGTTTTCTTGACAAAAGCAAAGTATTTTTACTAATTTTCATAACATTATTATATAAATGAATATTGTAAGGTTGGTCTCTAGTTTAGCAAACAAGAAGGGTAATTCAGAGTTAATTACAGAGCATCAGAAGAATAATCCCTAGGTAAGCCTGTCTAGTCCCATTTAACTTATTTTATCAGTAACCTTGGTAAAGGCAAAAAAAAAAAAATCTAGTAGGCTCTACCTTGTCCTCTTTGATATGTTTTATTAGTTGTTTAGGGAGAGGCAAAAAATTGGTATGTTTATAAAATGTGCAGATGACAAATAACTATAAAGAAAACCTAACATTCTGATATTTTAGAACATATTCAGGATTAGGATTTAAAATTCTCATTAGTTTGGAGAAGATGTTAGCCATAGTCATCATTAAAATCTGAAGGACTTTTTCAAGTAAGAATTGGGTTGGTTTTCTATAACCCCAGAGTAGGGTCATTGAGTGCAAGAGGTATAAGGGAATAAATTTCTAACAAAGTGATACAAAACTCGAATGTGCTACTGAATATTCTAGTTTCTGAATATATACAAGTATGGGACACTAGGCTTTCAGTAGATAATAAGGAGGGTGAAATGAAATCAGTGGTTTTCAAATTTCTTTTAATAGCAGAACCATTGCACTGGAAGAAACCTTACTCAGAGGACTAATACAAAACAGAGAGAAAATTGCTTTAGTTGAAATTCCCAACTACATCTTACACTCAACTCATCTGGCACTGGATCAGATGATCTCTAAAGTAATTCTTATGATCTTATATTCCTGAAGATTTATTATTCTACAGGGTCCAGATGAATGGTCTCCCAAATGGAATGAATGGGAGGATCTGTTGGGGGTGTGGAGAAAAATCAGATAGATACAAATACTGAAATAAGAAATTATACTTTATGATTTGAGAAGAGTGTATACACTTTTCAGAAGTTTCTCGTGTCAGTCAGAGCCATGGTCAGATATAACGCCCCCAGGAACCGATGTGTTTTAAAAATGATTTAAACACCGAAAATTTTTGAGGGAAAAAACCTCCATATCCACTGATTAACCACAACTGTTTTAATTTTTATATATTTCTTTCTAGTCCTATCCACATGCAAATACACATTTAGGCCCAGTTACCAACACTGTACATAGGATTTTAAAATTTTCTCCATGTAATTTAAGATGAATACTTCCACAAATCTAAGTTTCATAATAACTATCTTTTATAGTTACATAAAAATAGAGGTTTCATAATGTATTGAATCATTTTCCTACTGCTGACCACTCATATCATATTGACTCTCCTTTTTGTTATTATACAACTTGTTGTTTACTCACTAAGTCTGACTCTTGCGACCCCATGGACTGCAGTGTATGTACCATGTTGGTAACTGCCTAAATGTATATTTGCATGTGGACAGGACTGGATAGAAGTAATTACTCTTATTTAGTTAGACGTACATATTGCAATTCATTCACCCAAAGGTGAATTATTGTGGTGCTGTAGCTAGGGTGGGTGATTAGAAATTCTAATTTTGAAAATTCTGAATTAGAAAAATTTCCAGGTTCAGATTTTCAAGGTCGGAGGCTTTGGAGTGTAATATTTTACTTCTTCATACCTTGGAGTAGACCTGGAAATGCTTTGTCATGTTGGCAGGCATTCACTTCCTCCCTGCTTGGGTGGAGATGGGATGTCCATCTATTCAGGTGAAGAGAGTCATATATTCTTTTGTCATAAAAGGATGGATGTCAACCCTGTCTTTCACATGGCTGGTTTTCAACACTTATGAATCTGTCCTTACTTGGCAATAACAGTAAAGTGGTGTAGCAGTTTCTTTCCACTGAAGGCCCATGTGACCAGGCAAAGTGTTAAGCAGTTTGTACACTTTATATCTTACTTCTCATAACTCTATGTAGTGGGTATTTACTATTCCTATTGTATGCATAAAGAAATTGATGCTGAGAGACAGCAAAGAACATGTATATTTTAAGATCTTACTAAAGAATGTAACATACTACCAAATACTTATTTAAAATATGTATACATGCACATACATATGTATTTACTTAAATCTGGGCCATTAAGGCCATACAGTCAATCCCTTCATCTAGATGAGCATTTCCTAAGATATGTTAGGTGACATTACTTGGCTCCCATAACTTTGGCCCCAAAGAAAACTATTTTGCTTTAACCATATTGTAGTGTTGTGCCTTTAGCTCATACTGAGGGGCATTTAAAAAAGTTTCCAAATGGAGTCACCATTACATTTATTGTTGAAATGGTGATAAGAGTTTCATTCACTCTCTCTTGTGTGTGCACGTGCTCAAGCCTGTCTGATTCTTTGAGACCCCATGAACTTATATAGCCTACCAAGCTGTTCTAGCCATGGAATTTTCCAGGCAAGAATACTGGAGTGGGTTGCCATGTCCTCTTCAAGGGGATATTCCTGACCCAGGGATCGAACTTATACCTCTTTCAGCTCCAGCAGTGGCAGGCGGATTCTTTACCACTAGCTTACAGTACCAAAGTTGCAGCCCTAAAGGAGAACCACTTCTCAAACAGCAGGGTCAGAAATGGTGTGCTTCTCCTAAGCCACCAGTGTGCTTTTTATCTAATGAAGTATATGGGAAATTTTAAACAGATAACACTTCTTTATTTAGCCACTAGGAAGCTTAGTGAAATATCTGAAATCCTTCCTTGTATTAAGATACTTAAGGCATGCATTTCTTTAAACTAATTTTAGCTCTGCCCTTAGTCTACTATTCCTATAAAATTCCTCATATCCTGATCTACTTCAACTTTAAAGTAAATTCTCAGGATCAAAGCTCAATGCCAGTTTCCATATTTAAGTTAAAATCTGATCTCAATAGCTATAAAAATGTATGTACAGCAGTAAAATTATTTTTTGATGACTGCTGTAACTTATATCAAAGCAACATCAAACTCAGGTTATACTAGGCTCCTACCAGGCAGACAATTTGCCCCAAATCTTAGCTGTAATCATTAACTAGTATTTCACATTAAGAAAATCATTTAAAATTACCCAAAACTTACCAATCATAATTCTCATTGTATTCATAGTCGAAAACAACTCCTATAAACTAGCTCAATAAGTAAATGTGCTAGTTTGGGATTAGGGCCTATTCAATGTTTTAAACAATCAACACAATCTAACCTAGGCCAGTGATTTAAGTTGATTAATAGCTCATTGAAGCAATTCTGTCTTCCTTCTAAATACAGGTCATAATTAAAAGCAAAACAAAAAAACTATTTTTTCAATTAAAAAATTCAAAGCATATTTCAGTACATATTTGATATGTACCATATTACTTGAGGAGAGCATTGCCACTCATTTTATAGATTGAGAAAATGAATAGTACATTACTAAAACTAATGAAGTTCAAACGACTTTCTCAAGGTAGCATGTGCTGATGAAACTAGAACTAGAAAAGAGACCTTTTTTTCCTAGACTTTTTTTGGAGTGAAGATGGGTCACAGATTAGAATGAAATGTTGTCAATCTTTATTAGCAACATTCAAAAGATTAAGCCTGGATAGGAACAATCAATTCTGTCAGACAACAGAAGGTAGATTTTGACCTCACTGTTGAATGCTAAGAACTAGTAATGCAAGGTTTTATTTCCTGGAGCATAAATGCCCTTGGGCAAATAATCTGATCCAACGAGGTTCAATGCAACAGATAAGTAAAAATGGAGTCAGCTCCTGACATCTACATTTTGGGGGCTGTGGGGGGAGTCCAATTATGCTACCGATTTCTAACTTCATTTTAGCTGTCCTTCGGAGGACCTTCAGTTCACTCAAGGGTTGAGTATTTTCAGAACATCGTAATGTAATTCTAATCAAATGAGGTCCCAATGTGAACCAGCTCCAGGACCAGCAGTATACCTGAGCTCTAACGTGAGAGATCATTTGGGTATTTTGGGGGGGCAGGGGATAGACAAGATTTAGTCATATTCTGATCTAAGTCTTAGCTAAATGAATTTGCATTGCGGCTTCAGACCTTTAAATGATTAAATTACACCAATCTACATTCAAACTTCTTGAAAATTTGCCTCTCCAGTATATTAATATAATTTACATTCAGGGTAATGGAATTAAAGTGAATTATCTTCAATAAGATTACATTTCTGCAGACCATTTTCTGCTATAAGCATCTCACTTAATATATTAATCAAGAAATTATACAGAAAGCATGACTTTTAAAATAACAAAGTGACATCACTTATATTGTAATAAGATATTTATACCTTATATATAAAGCATTTATGGGGTCCTTTCATGCTTTTTGGAAATTAAAGCAACACTTCAGTCACATTTAATCATTTGGCTATGCTATGTTTTTGATAGCTGGAAGGTACTAAACATTCATATTCAACAAATGATATAAAATTGAGACAAAACCAATCATGCGTTTTTAGAAGAGATTTCTGTGTTCTCACCTGAGGCTGCTGTGGTATTTGAAGGAGTTGAAGCAGCTGCTTGAATCCGAGCATGAGGAGGAATAAGGATGGTAGCTAGAGGTGGATTACTTGACAGTTCTAGAGAAAAGGTAAGATACATGTGTTAGAGTCCATTCTTAACTCTGTTGTGAAACTATTTTATTGGTATCAGAACAGAAGACATGGCATTATAACACTGGTTTAACAGAAAAAAAGACAGGATAAACCTACATCTGAAACTAAATCATGAGCGAGTAATTAACCTATACAGCAAGGCCACCAATATGTTGTGATATATAACAAAAGCAAAATTCAGGTATCTTTGAGAACTAAAGATAGGCTGGGGAAAGGTATTGGCCAAAATTTTGAGAGTAAGCGTATTAATAAGATATGTTTCCATCATTCATTAACTTAAATATACTAGGTTTCCCCTTGCTACTCTGACAATATTTGACTGCAGGGGTTGACAGTGATAGGATCACAGAAAAGAAAATATAACTGCAGTCTGTACATTGGCATGCACAGACCAACTTACTTGATGGCAGGTATGATTTATCCAAACAGTAGTGGAAACAGGATTTAAGAAACATGTTAATTCTCATTGCTTTTGCTGAAAACAAAAATGTCTACTGAATCCTATTTTGCTTTTTAACCTAGTAAGACTGTTACCTTTTAAAAGTTTAAAGTAGGCTTTTATCTGCATGTGGAAGTCTCTCTCTGTCAAGTGTATGCAAACTGGCTTTCTTCAAAGAATCAAGTGCTGTATGTGAGTGTTGAGAAATAATTTTAAGATGATATTTGATCTAATAATGTAAACAGTTACTGAGACATGGTGGTGAGCTTGTACATAAAAGCATCTGGTGTTAATTTCAGGTAATATGATTGTTCTTCCAGTCTGCCTGGGATAACCCTGGTTTGTTCTGGCATGTAACTAGGGAGCACTCATTTCTACTCTAATAAGTGTTGTTACAAACAATTCTACCTATTGTTCTAATAATTTAAAGGAATAATTATACAACCATACTAGCTACAGGGAGGTGTTATCCTCTGAGCTACAAGTAATAATTACAGCATGAACTAAAAAAAGTTAGGAAATAGTGTTTTCTTTAAAGCAAAATTCATATAATATAGAATTAATCATTTTAAAGTATATAATTTTGCTGTATTCAGTACATTCACAATGTTGTACAACCATCACCTCTACCTAGTTTGAAAAAATTTTCATCACCCTAAAGGGAAACCTTAAGCAATTATTCACCATTCATCCCTCCTGCCAGCACCTAACAAGGGAAATATCATTTTAATGCAGAACTTTAAAAATGTTCTGGTACAAAGTCCCTGGAAATATTGACTTAATCAACTTGGTGCCTAAGTATCTAAATTTTGTACTAAATCTGATACTCAGATTCTGGTAAAAAGAAGCAACATGCTGATGTCAAGATATATGGAAAATGAATGGCAGGAAAAGCTCAAAACCGAGAGAAGACCATTCATTATCTTTTCCCCTTCAAAGAGAAGACTTAGGTCATCTCATGAAATAATAACCTTCCCTGAGTTGGAAAACCACTGCCTTAATGATCAGGTTTGAAGAAATGCTGTTTTCTCATAATCAGCTGTAGTAGCTATTTCAGTTTTCACTGAGATACAGAAAGAACCTATGTAGTTTTACTTAAATCAGTCCAATTTTAATGCAATCTCACACCTACAAAAACAGGAGAATCCCTGATAATTGTCGGGGCTGATGACTTTCCGGTTCTAGGAAGAGAAATTAATGCAAGATGTGGTAATTACTCTTCAGTAATCTAAAAGACAGTCAGATTTACCATCCCACTTAAAACTAAAATTTCCTACAATAAAAAAGCTTCTTTAAAATCCACCCATCCATCTACCCACCCACGTCCTCATCCAACTAACACTACTGGGCATGAAAGACTGTGTGAGGTCCCAGAGAGACAGGTAAAAAGATTGTTGTCTCTGTCTACTCAACAGAAATGGAAAAATGGAAGGACAATTATACAAATAAGCTGGCAAGAAAGGTAATGAATCAACTAAAGACAGGTGCATTTTTAAATTAAGAGATCTCTATGACCATGTACCCAACATCTAAAAGAAAATCCAGGGACTTTCCTGGTGGTCCAGTTGCTAAGACTTCATGCTCCCAATGCAGGGGGGCACAGGTTTGATCCCTGGTTATCAGGGAATTAGATCCCACATGCCACAACTAAGACTTCACATACCGCAAGTAAAGATCCCACATGTCGCAAAGAAGACTGAAAATCCTGTGTGCCACAACTAAAGACATAGCACAGCCAAGTAACAAACATTTTTTAACATAAGAAACCATATTATCTTCATTTAAGTATTTTTTAAAAGCATATACAGCCTTTTAATTACAGTCCTGTTGTTGACTTTCGGGCACAGATGCTGTTAGGCTATTTTCTTCCTTTTGTAAAAATATTTAAATTTATTTACTTTTGATTGGAGGATAGTTGCTTTACAATATTGTGTTGGTTTCTGCCATATATCAATATGAATCAGCCAGAGGCTGATTGATGTATGTCCTCCCACTCAAACAAAACATTTGAAAAAAAGAAAATGTAAAAAAGGAAAAGATGACCAGATATTTTAAGAGCTACAGTTGAGATAATCTTTAAAATAAATTGAATATAAGTGGTTTGTGGTCACATACTGCCCACTTTCTCCCATTCACTCACTCATTTACCAAATCACCTATTCTTGTGTATATGCACATCCAACTGAGGGCCATGGTGGTTTTGTGGTTTTGCACACATACACATGCAAGCCTTGAGAAAAACAATCTTCTTTTTCTCTAGGTAATATAGGAAACAAGGAAGCCCATAATATTAGTGGGGCTAGCCGTGGAGAAGAGGTGGGAAAGAATGAAACTGTGTTATCCCAGAGACATGGATCAAAACAAAATGGAAACAGGTTCCAGAAGGTTTTAAAACCCTTAATGTATGATAAGGATTTCTTCAACCAACTAAAGATGCCATAAAACTACTCATTAAAAAAATCACATAGTTTATCAGTAAACATTAAGAATGCTTTGATGGTGAATTAACATACGGTCCACCATCAAAACACAATGCACAATTTGAGCAAGAACAAAATGAATTTAAAGACAGCTATCAATAAGCCAACCAAGACAGGTATCAACTGACCAAAAGGATAACCAAACTCATTTAACTAAAATTTGCTACACTAAAAACTGCAGAAGAAAAATTCCCTTGAAAAGACCACCATTAAGTTAAGCAATCTTTTTAAATGTTAAAAACAACAACAAAACCTAAATCTAGTTGCTGGCAAACCTGAAGTTTCCCTTAAAGTTTCTCTTCATCTAAATGTAAGATTTCCAAATTTATTTATAAGGGCAGGTTTTTTATTTTTAATTTAAATTTTTGGGGGTAAGGGGTAGGAGTAGGTGTAGGAAGAGGTATATATGTATGTTCAAACTGTGCTGAATGAAAGCTGAGGATAAATTTGAGAATAGTAATCAATGTAGAAACCAGAGGGAAGACATCAACTCTTTAGTAACTAGACCTACTCTGACAGTAATAATAAAATACCAGTCATAAGGTAGAAGGGAATCTTCTTTCTTTGTTTAACTTTGAAAGGGCTCAACCTGCAAACCCCCAGAAAGAGTCACTAAGAGAGGCAAATTTTCTTTTTTTTCTACAAAGAATTTGAAGTCTTCATGTATGTATGAGGTCTCTTAAGTATAGATGAAAATGACCAGTTGTTGTCTATATAATCAAAACTGCTATTTTTTCCCCTATTCACAAAAAGGTTTAAATGATTTAACAATGGCATGCACATTTTATTTGTGTACTTTTCTGAGGAGCAATTCAAATGCTAGGATGGTATACTTTGATCTTACACATACTGAATTCTAATGTTGCTTATCTGAATATATACCGTTTAGATGAACAGGTAACTCCAGCACAACTACTTCTCTCCTAACAATTTCAAAGGGCCCAGGAAATCTCTTAAGCTTCTGTCGCTGACGACATACTCCACACACACTCAGGAAAGTAAACACTAAACTAAACAGAAGATCAGACAAACAGAAAACAAACTGCAAAGCCTGCTCCTGCTGCTTGACAATACTGGCAATGTTTCATGAGCGGACTACATGATGGCTGTATAATCCCATGACTACTTTGCCTTGGAACTGCCCAAGAGGGAGGGTCACAATTTATACTAACGATACACTTAGAAGTTATCTACCAAACTGGTAGTATTTTTAAAGTCCTGGTGATTAAAAAGAATAAGCTTTAGTAACCTGAAAATGTTATACTCAGAACTTCATTCTTTTTTTTCTTTTTAATTAGAGGATAATCGCTTTACCTGGCTGTGTTGGTTTCTGCTGTACAACAATGTGAAGAAGCCATGCGTATATAAACCCCTTTCCTCTTGAGCCTCCTCCCTCACATCCCCCCCCCCCCGCCAAGTTGTCACAGAGCATCGATTGAGCTCCCTGTTACACAGCAGCTTCTCACTAGCTCTTTTACACATGGTAACGTATATATGTCAACGGTTCTCTCTAGAGAATAGACCCGTGGACACAGTGGGGGAAGGAGAAGGTGGAACAAATTGAAAGAGTAGAACTTCATTGTTGATGAAATGTAATAAATGTAGTGTTACTGTAAGTTGTTTCATCCAACTAAAAACAACCTTTTTGAGCATTTAATAATAACAGGTACTGCTAATATGTTGAATTCTATAGGGATCACTTTGTTTCCATTTATACCATGATTATCAGCAATATGTGAACCGTGAACTTCCAGATGTTCAAGCTGGTTTTAGAAAAGGCAGAGGAATCAGAGATCAAATTGCCAACATCTGCTAGATTATCAAAAAAGCAAGAGAATTCCAGAAAAACATCAATTTCTGCTTTATTGACTATGCCGAAGCCTTTGACTGTGTGGATCACAATAAACTGTGGGAAATTCTGAAAGAGATGGGAATACCAGATCACCTCAACTGCCTCTTGAGAAACCTATATGCAGCTCAGGAAGCAACAGTTAGAAATGGACATGGAACAACAGACTGGTTCCAGATAGGAAAAGGAGTACGTC